ACTAAACATTTGTTGAAATAGTAAGTAAGGTTTTATATGCCACCATATGTGGAAAAACGTTTGGGTCTGTATATTATAAAATATTCATACGATTTGTAGGAGGAGCAACGCTGGGACTGTGAAGCCGTCATTCCATTAAAGGGTCATTCAGGGTCAATAGTCAGTATGGTACATGTAGATATATAACTTTCTAACGCATCTGCTATTCTCTATATCCCTATCGCATTATTAATACCATGAAAAGTAAGTAAATGAGAAAAAATATTACAATGTATATTGTACTATATATATTCCTGGAGGTTATAAATTGTATACGTGTTAGTATACTTTTAATTTACATTGATAAAATTTACCACTTTGGTGTATACCATTCTTTATAGAATACAGTTTTGTTTCTATACCCATATCATTTAACAAATAAATGAAAAATATGAGGATACTACGGAGCCCATTTGGTGACACGATCATTTTATTTTTTCATGATCATGAAATAATAAATCGTGCGGGCGAAATAAAATAAATAATAAAGTGACATCAAAGGGTATTATATTTAGTGTTATTATGCCGTTTTCAGAGAAACCGGGATGTATTTACCAATAAAGCAAACGTTTGCAACATCAGCTATCTTAGCCTAGTACAGAGTTGAAATGATTGGTTTTAACAGACAGTGTTCGGTTATAGTGTACAGTTATATGAAGAAAAAGCATGGAAGGAGAGAATGTGTGGTGACCGCGATTTCTGCAGATTTATAATTGTTCATGATAATTTGGCTCCTCATATATTGTGGAAATTGTTAATAAAATTTCCTTAAAACAGAGAAGCCATACGTAGTATAATGAAATTGATTGTATCTCTAAGACATTCAGAAAAAACTGGATTATGTCATAAATGTGGACAAATGTATAACGATATATATACCCACATAGTTTTACAATGTGATTGTACAGAAGACTTACGAGAAATAGGCTACATTGAAGCATTGACCGACGATGTCGACATTCTTTGTATAACCGAAACTCATTTGGATCCTTCTATTACTAATGAAGAAATTACGCTACAGGGCTTTAGTGACAAACCGTTTAGAAAAGATAGGAATATGTTCGGAGGGGGTGTATTGTTATACTATTCTCCATCTCTCGTAGTTAAAAGAAAACTTGAGTTAGAATTTGCTAATGACGAAGTAATATGGGTACAAGTTTATTCAAATAATATTACACATATAATAGGAAATCTATACAGACCACCTAATCTAAATTATTCTGACGGTATATGGCAGAGACTAAAACATTCCCTCGACCTGGCATTCGATATTACAGATAATGTTATTTTGATGGGCGATCTAAATGTTGACTTTTTAAAATCCTCCAGAGATGAATTATTCGACCTTCTCACTTTGTACCAGATGTCAAATATTATAACCGAACCTACCAGAATAACGGACCATTCAGCAACATTATTAGATCCAGTAATTATCAGTAACACAATCAACACTTTTTTCAGTGAAGTTATTAATATAGACGACAATATAAGTGACCACAATGCTGTTTTTACAATAATTGAAGTACCGAAACAAACCCAAACAGTTTTCAAACGAAAGGTATGGCTATATGACAAAACAGACATCGAAAAGCTTAAACATTTTATCACAAATATATCATGGGTAAACCAATTTAATATGTTTAATGACGTTAATGACATGTGTGATTTTCTGACAACCACTATACTTAACGCTGTAGATATATGCATACCATCTAAATATGTGCAGATTAGACAACATGACAAACCCTGGATCAATAATATTGTCAGAAGACAAATACGTAATAGAAATCGATTAAAAAAGATACTTATAAATAATAATAATGATTTTAATAGGACGAAATTTAAACAATCAAGAAATAAAACAAATAATATGATAAAACGAGCAAAAGAACTTTTCTACGAAAATATCGACTCTATCATAGTCAAAAATAAATCTAACCCCAAAACATATTGGAAATTGTTAAGGTTTGTACTGAAAGGAAGCAAAACTACTGATATATCACCACTTTTTGATGACAATGCTAACGAATTCACGAATGATAATAACCATAAATGTGAACTTCTTAATAACTATTTTTCTTCAGTATCCAGTCATTCCGAAGTAGACCAAAACAAACCTATTCCCATTTTAGAAAAACGAACAGACTCTCTTTTGTCCGAAATTCATATTATACCTTCTGAAATAGTTGATATTATTAACATACTAGATGTAAATAAGGCAACAGGGCCTGACGGAATCAGTCATCGAATGTTAAAACTTGTAGCAAATGAAATTGCCATTCCCCTTTCCCTCATTTTTAATCACTCCTTAAACAATGGTATATATCCCGATAAATGGAAATTAGCAAACGTCATGCCGATCTTTAAGTCTGGCGACGCTCATAATGCTTCGAATTATAGACCAATATCATTATTAAGCTGTGTTGGAAAAATTTTTGAACGTGTAGTCTATAAACATATTTACAACTTTTTTAACTCTAATTATCTTATTTACAAACTTCAGTCTGGATTCTTACCCAATCATTCTTGTACGCATCAACTCATTGAAATGTACCATTCTATGATGTTAGCATTAGAAAACTATGAACATATAGCTTTTACTTTTTGTGATTTTTCAAAGGCCTTCGATCGAGTTTGGCATAGAGGGCTTTTATACAAACTTCAACAACATGGTATTTCAGGCAGTCTTCTTAATTGGATAACAAACTATCTTTTTGAGCGTAAGCAATCCGTCTTTATTCACGATTCCCATTCTTCTGTAAGAAATATAAACGCCGGTGTTCCCCAAGGTTCAGTGTTAGGCCCTTTATTCTTCTTGATTTATATTAACGACATTTCAACCGAACTCTCCTCATTATCTCGTCTTTTTGCTGACGATACGTCGCTTTCATACTCATCACCAAACCTAGAAAATATTGTAAGTGAAGTAAATAAAGACCTAAAAACTCTAGAGAAATGGTCTAAAAATTGGCTGATGTCTTTCAATCCTAAAAAAACCGAAATCATGATTGTTTCTAATACAAATCTACCCTTTCAACCCCAATTTATTTTTAACGATACTTCTATCCTTTTAACAGATAGCCACAAACACCTTGGAGTTATACTAAGTAGCGACGGTAAATGGAATAAACATGTAGACGAACTTATCAAAAAAGTGGCTAAATATATAGCAACCCTTCGTAAAATGAAATGGTTACTCAGTAGAAATAACCTTGAAAAACTATATTTAACGTACATTCGACCATTATTAGAATATGCATGTGAAGTCTGGGACAATTGTGGAATGACAAATTCATCAAAACTTGAAAATATTCAGATAGATGCTGCACGAATTGTTACAGGACTACCTATTTACACAAAAATTGAACATATATTTAATGAAATTGGCTGGGTTCCACTAAGTAATAGAAGGAAAAACAGAAAATTGTCCCTATTCTTTACAATTAAAAACGGTACAGCTCCTAATTATTTGTGTGACACCTTACCAGATAGCATTGGGGATATTTCTCGTTATAACCTAAGAAATTCCCAACATTTAAGACAACCAAACTTTAGGCTTGAAACAATGCGCAATTCTTTTTTCCCATCAACTACAAAAATGTGGAATGACCTAGATATATCTATAAGGAATTCGGCTTCTCTCAGTTCATTTAAATCAAATATAAAATCAAAAGGTAAACCACAAAATAAATGCTTTCTGGTATGGGGTTCCCGTAAATCAAATATACTTCATTGCCGTTTGAGAAATCGTGCGAGCTCCCTTAACTATGACCTATTTAGAGCAAATTTATCAAATACAGCTGAATGTGCATGCGGTAATCCATGTGAAGACTCTTATCACTTCCTTTGTGTCTGTCCCTTATACACCCAGCATCGCAATCTATTAATAAGAGAGCTTCAACCTGTTCGTGATGATTTAACTTTAGACTTGCTCCTATATGGCGATCCTAAATTCAGCATTAATGTAAATACCTCAATTGCAAAATCTGTCCAAAATTATATCAGCAAATGCAACAGGTTTGACTGAATGTGATCATCTTTCTCTCTCTATCACTCTTTTTTTTCTCCGACTCTACCTGTGTTACTATCATTTACTTCATTACTCTATCCGTCTTTTCTTCCACTCTATTTTTCATCTACTCTATCTGTGTTACTATCCTTTACTTCGTTTCGCTCTCCTTCTTTTCTTCGTCTCTATTTTCCATTTCCATATAAAAACATAATTAATGTATATTGCGTAAATTACCTTATCAAGTTATTGTTTATATTCATGTATTTGAAGAAAAGGACTTTGATAAGTTGGTAAAACTTGTGTCCAATTCTTTTGTAAATATTTATTTGCAATAAAATATGTTTAAATCAAATACTTACGAGATCAGTTATGGTGTCAAGTCATTAATGCATGTGAACTTATGATGTTTAGCGTATATTTACACTCTCATTCAGACTATGAATTGTTTCACCTACTGATTGGTGGCAATATAACGTATGAACTGAATACATTAGAGTTAACAGAATTTCGTATGGCATCAGTCAATCATATTTCAAAAATGCTTAATGCATACTTCAAATGAATATTCAATACTTTTGTGTATATCATTCTTAACATTATTAATTATGTATTCTTATGTAAACTGTACTCAAATTGATTAACCTATTCCTATTATGTTAACTTATTACGTTGTGCACTAATTTTACCTTACCATCTATTTGATTTTGCATTTATTATCTAATTTATCATTGTAACTACATTATTCTATTTGTAAAATCTTCTTAAAGGAGGAAATAAAGAGAATAATAATAATAATAATAAGACAGCAGTTGATGAAGTACATTTTGTAATGCATCGTTACTTGCCCCATCCCGGCTTTCCAGGACATCCTGGATATGTCACATGTCTAATTATGTATCATATTGATTTCGAAATAGGAAAGTATTTTGAAATACTGCATTGGCTTGACCGCTGATACTTTGATAGTATCTTCAGGGATTTAATCGTCCCCGATATATTGTATTCACGACAAAATTATTTAAATTCAAAGTTTAATAGAAATATCCTACAGGCGACAGTCTAGTCGATCTAATTGCATTATCTGTCGACACGTGATATACGCACTTGGACAACACCTACTTGTTGACGACAGTATTATTCAGGGTTTAAAATAGACGCTCTTTTGTGGCGGAGGTAAAATTGGTTGTTTTCGTGTTTGTCAACATTGAAAAGTAGGAGGAGTGACGTCTGCGGTAGGCTATAACGATGAATTCAACCTCGGACACTGACTGTCCGTTATTTCCGGACAAGCCCGGACAATGTGTAAGTCGATGTCAGATATTGGATAATCTTGACACATGTTTAAGTTAGAAAGCTTCGTCTATAGCTGGTCAATAGAATTGTATAATCGAGACTAAACTTGGTCGTCTCTACTGAATCTACGGGTCGGCGGGTTTGCCTCTCCCAGCGCTGATAGGTGTTTACTCTGTCCGGTTGCGGAAGTAATTAATGTTTCATATGTGTATTTCTTACCTTGGAACCGTCAGGATAACATGTATTTTAAATAACTATTTCTTAAAATGATGTCATCATTCTAATAAAGTTACCTGCTTATAATCAGCTGATAATTAGTATTGGTAAAAATTCGAATCCCAATCATCTATTTTTGGCAATGATGTGAGTGAAGGACGATTCTTTTATTCCTTCAGACAAAACTGAATTTCATGAACGTTTATGTTCTTAATAACATATCAACATGTAAAATGCAATAATTAATTCTGTTGAAATTTGGTACATGTCACAAACTACTTGTACCTGTTTCAGAAAAGAATATGTACAGTCACAGAATTTGATTTAGAGAATCCCTGCTATCTAAGTCCGTGGTACAGTGTATTACCATGTCCAGTGCTTTTTCATTTACATATATAAATATGTACATCAAAAGTGATCAATTTATTGCAAATCTAGTATTTGCACGCAGAACCTGTTTTACTAAGTAAGATATTGAAGGGACCTTTTCTCTGTAAGAAAACATTCAAAAGTCATTGATCAACAAGTTACAACTGTAATGCTTTTGATCATGCTGGTAAAAATATGTCCAGAAGAACGGTGCAGATTGCGTTATGAATCGTTTCATTTATGCAAGGACAAAGTTGTACCACAGGTATTTATACGAAGTGAAAATTTTACATATGAGTCCCGAGTGCTATATGTACTCATAAAATTTGGATAGGACTCATAATTGAATCTAACATTGTGTGACCCATTATAAATAAACACATGTAAACTGCATATTGATCATTGAATATTTGTTGATTTGTTTTACAGGATGTTTTGATAGCAATAAGACGTACAACTGGTGCTCTATCTTTGGTTGGTTGGTAAGTACATACCTGTTAACCCTTTTACTCCTATGTAACTTTAGTATATACTCTACCATGCATTGATATGGATGAGTTCATTGTAGTCTAACAGTGGTTAAAGGGTTAAAATACTCTGCAAACAGCCTCATTGGTAGAACTGGTTATAAATGAATTATTCGAAAATGGAAGGGAGCAGGAACACTACTTTACACAGTTTTGTCAACTACCGGTATTTATATTCGCAACCAAATAAATAACTTCTATGGGAACCTTCTTTTCAAAGTGCTAGCACTATCTATGAACATTCTTGGGAGAAACTAGGGTTTAAAATGATACTGCTAAGATAAACTAGGATTTGTTTCCTGGTGTCTGGGGCAACATGTGGCCAACATTTGCAAAATATATAAAAATATGACTAAAAATGCTAGTGTTACTATTGAACAAATTTGGTTGCCTGTATCTAGTTCATTGCTGTTTATTCATATTTGAAATCAAGTAAATCATGAAACAATGCCAATTAATATACTGTACAAGTAAAACATCTCACGATGCAAAATTATTTACGTATAAGAATATTATAACTCAATGTAAAATTGTATAGTGTATACCTTTAATGACTAATATGCTTACAGCACACAAGCGCATCTGCATGTGTGTGTTTGTGTGTGCATATGCACATGTGTGTGCATGTGTGTGGGTATATGTATATATATATATGTGTGTTCATCTGTTTGTGTGTGCATGTTGAGATGTGTATGTGCGTATGCATGTAAACTATGTATGTGTGTGGGTGCATATATATGTGCATGCATATGTATGTATGCATGTATATGCAACATGTGTACATGCATATGTATGTATGTTTGTATGCATGTATGTAAATATGTATTCATGTATGTTATGTATGTATGTTATATATGTATGTATGTAAGTATGTAAGTATGTAAGTTTGTATGTATGTATGTATGTATGTATGTATGTATGTATGTATGTATGTATGTATGTATGTATGTATGTATGTATGTATGTATGTATGTATGTATGTATGTATGTATGTATGTATGTATGTATGTATGTATGTATGTATGTATGTATGTATGTATGTATGTATGTATGTATGTATGTATGTATGTATGTATGTATGTATGTATGTATGTATGTATGTATGTATGTATGTATGTATGTATGTATGTATGTATGTATGTATGTATGTATGTATGTATGTATGTATGTATGTATGTATGTATGTATGTATGTATGTATGTATGTATGTATGTATGTATGTATGTATGTATGTATGTATGTATGTATGTATGTATGTATGTATGTATGTATGTATGTATGTATGTATGTATGTATGTATGTATGTATGTATGTATGTATGTATGTATGTATGTATGTATGTATGTATGTATGTATGTATGTATGTATGTATGTATGTATGTATGTATGTATGTATGTATGTATGTATGTATGTATGTATGAGTGCATGCATGTTTGTGTTTATGTTTATGTACACATGTAACTGTAATACTATGTATTACGACAAAATGTATATGTTTTTGTCTATGAAAAAAAAAAAAAAATGAAACATTTGTTTTCTTCAATGATGTTTACTGAAATGATATATTCATGTACTGCAATGTGCATATTCGCAAATTTTTTCTCATCATTAACAAATATCTACAGGGCTTTCAAGACAAAATGTATATGTTTTTGTCTATGAAAAAAAAAAAAAAATGAAACATTTGTTTTCTTCAATGATGTTTACTGAAATGATATATTCATGTACTGCAATGTGCATATTCGCAAATTTTTTCTCATCATTAACAAATATCTACAGGGCTTTCAAGTGCCATTTTGGACAAGATTTTGTCCCCATTCCAAATGAAAAATAGAGCTATTTTTGTCCTCACCTCTTTCAAAATTTCACCTTTGATATAATTTCAAAAATTGTTAATTAGAAAATACAGTCACATAAACAATTTTCTCAATTCCAAAGCCATAGGCCTTATTCAGAATATAGTTAAAAATCTCTGGTGTTCTGTTTCTTTAATTTCTTAATACCATGATGTATGATTAGCTAAAATGTGAATCTTTGAGGAAGTACAATATGGTAGAATTATACCAAAGATAATTATTTGTCAAGCAAGGCTCCATGTACAGTGGGTGTTTATTAAAGATAGCGTACAGTTTATAACATGGTGAGGTGGACATTTTTAATTACTCCAAACACAATGTGACCTATTTCCTACAGCGTATCTCTACCACTGTTTCCTTTATGTACACATGTATCACACATCAATAATGAAGACAGGATAATATATAAAAAGTAAACATAGTCACAGACTCAGTAGTAATGGATGAAATCTGCAAGACTATTTTCTGAGAGTTTAAGAATGAATGGTGTTAAATTTGTATTGCCAAGGAATGCCTCCATGGTTTTATGCCTTTATGGCTGTTGATTTCACTATCCTGGTTATGTGTAAATGCCAGTGTTTCAGCAATGAAACTGTTTAAGCTACAGCCGTTTCCTCTAGTCTGGATATGTTACTGAAATGAATTATTCATGATGGCGTCACCATCAGGGATATTGTCTGAAGTGACTACCTGATAATTACATTTACTGCAGCATGCTACATGTACAGAAAGGTGTGAGTTCTCATCATGTTGGCACCAACCAAATCTGACTGTTAAGAACATAACTAACTTGACACATACTTGTTACGGTGAAGTATTGATTTTACCCACCTACTGGTGCAATGTAGTCCCATATGGTGTCCATGAGCAGACCACCAGGATGGGGTGGAGGTAGTCCAGCCCCCCTCCCGATCTCAAACCCACTTACATTTTTTTGCCATCAGAATCATTGGTTCTGGCTGTATTTAATTGGTAAACATTTTAACAGAAAATCATCCTTATATTTCTGAGAAAATCTGTATTGCTGCTTTTGACATTGAAGATTAAGGCCCCGGTGTTGCATGGTAATGTGGAGCCCATGGTGAAATGAACACTCCACATTTTAATGGTAATATAAACAGCCCCCATGGTGAAATGAAAGCTGTCTGGGGTAGAGAAATTAAGGGAGGGGCAAAGGGGATTGGGGGTCACTTTACCGTAATGGTGAAATGAACACTCCGCATTTTAATGGCAATATAAACAGCCCCCATGGCGAAATGAAAGCTGTCTGGGGTAGAGAAATCAAGGGAGGGGCAAAGGGGATCGGGGGTCACTTTACCGTAATGGTGAAATGAACACTCCACATTTTATTGGTAATATAAACAGCCCCCATGGTGAAATGAAAGCTGTCTGGGGTAGAGAAATTAAGGGAGGGGCAAAGGGGATTGGGGGTCACTTTACCGTAATGGTGAAATGAACACTCCACCTTTTAATGGTAATATAAACAGCCCCAGTGGCGAAATGAAAGCTGTCTGGGGTAGAGAAATTAAGGGAGGGGCAAAGGGGATCGGGGGTCACTTTACCGTAATGGTGAAATGAACACTCCACATTTTAATGGTAATATAAACAGCCCCCATGGTGAAATGCAAGCTGTCTGGGGTAGAGAAATTAAGGGAGTGGCAAAGGGGATGGGGGTCACTTTTCCGTAATGGTGAAATGAAAGGCACTTAATTACAGTAACAACATCAGAAAAAAATAGTTGATAATCAGATCATCATCCTAACATATTCTAATGTATCATGGTATAATTAAAATATTATTGATTTTAGTGGAGAAATAATCACATTAAAAGATCACAGTAAAAAAAAACATGGTTTTACATAATTATTTGACAATAAGTTCAATCTTAAATAAACCACAGAGCACCTTAACTTCTGTGTTGGGCTTCACCCTAAATTAGTATCTCAATACACAGTTTTTTCAAACTATGAACTATTTCAAAAGAGTATTAATTCCAAATTCTTTAGGCATCAAAATTTTGTTTGAAAACCCACCTGCAATTTGTATGTTGTAGCTACGAAAAGAAATTTTGCCTGCTAAAAGTTGCTTGCTAATTAGCAGTGCAACTCTTTATCAGACTGGAATTTGTTGTAATTCTACTAAGGTGCAATTAAAAAAACATGAATGCTGAACATCAAACAACTGTTTAAATGACCTAAACCTTGCCTTAGGCTAGACATTTGAGAATCTTACCCCTTGGGTTGGGATTTTTTTGTCTTATCCTGAAAAGGGGAATGATTCTTTCAGTCATTGCCCATTCATATCTGATTTGTGTAATTTTTCAATTTCAAATATATTTTATTGATTAAACAATCAGATTGGGCAACGGGGATAGCATATATATATATATAAGCCCTCTCTTCGACTTTCTTTGATGTAACAATATTTGTGATTTGTGTGATAAAAGTAAGATCAAATCAAACTAGAAATACATTGGTCATGCTTTTCTTTAATTTCTTATCAATGGAGAATAATACTTTCTTTCAGTATCTTCATGATAGCAGTGATTTGGCTTTTCAAAAAATATGCTGCTTTTTCTCAAGTAAGTACACTACCAGTATTTAATTTAATTTTAATAATACAGTATATTATCTTGTGCATACTATGTATAAATTTGTGTAAAACGAAATCTCTGTATATGAGTTGTTTAAATTTTCAAATGTAATGTATAATGTTGAACGAAAAAGGTCTTACGGGGATATTTGTGGCAAGGAGATACACTACACTACTTTAAATAGGTAAATTTATAATTGATAAAGCTACCGTGCATAACACAAAAAGTAATTATCTCTGGGTTTCTTATTTGACTGGTTTTCAATTTTGTAAAAATGTTCACACTTTCAGAAAAGTTTACTTCTGAGTAAGATGTTCTGACATATCTTTAGACATCAGGCTGCATATTGAAACAAATGTTGAAGCAAAAATATACTGATGTGTGTTTTGTGGTTTTAGCGACTGATCCTCTACTTGAGTATTGGTGCCCTGTTGAACTCGATATCCTACCTTATGGTGAGTATTGTGCTTATTTATAGTGAGTGCTGTCTCTCAATATTCAATATTATGTCCATTAAGAAATCAAGAAAAGATGATTCCCCAGGAGATTTAACACTGCATTGTCAAGAACTTTGGATTATTGTAAGAAAATATGTTATTACCCTTTTTGAATTTTATCACAATTTTTACAACTTTTGAGTAAGAAAACAAATAGAAAAAATCAATTGATGACAGTTAATTTTCATTTTTTAACGACCCTGGAGTTTTTAAAATGAAATACCAAAATACATTTCTCCAGTTATCTCCCTTTAGTCTACAGTGTACATAAGTTTTCTTTCTGTAACAGGACAGAAAAAAGCTTTCCTGCCTTTGTTTTGGGGGCTGAATTCCAAAGGGATTTAGACATTTTTATTCTCAAAGTTATTAAGAAAAAGTTTTGAAACATATCATTTAAAATATACCTCATTTCTTTTTCTTTTTATCATTTAAATTTTATAGTAGAAAATAATATCAGCACCTAATTTTCCTTATAGATGCTTTATAACCAGAGGGTCCTATAGAAATTCTACATCCTTCCAAATAAAACTAGTTGGACTCCCACTTTAACTCATCAATTTAATAGTTACAAACCTAAAGAAATTGACAATTTCATAAAAAAAGGTAATTGGTAATAAGTGAAAGCAACAATTTCCATGATTCTATTATTTTGTAGGGAGGTTTGAGACCTGATGGGCCAATGTGTGACTTCCAGGCGTGGTGGATGACGTTTTTTGGTAGGTTGTTATTTCCATATTTATAACTGAATCAGTAAAGGCTAAAATACACATCTCATTTCAGATATAATGACAAAATTATGATTCATTAATGCAAACCTTGTCCGTTTTTATTACCAAATTAATTATAATTATGATAATATAGCCACCTACAGTTACTCTGATTTTTAAAAGAATGTGGTAATTTTTGACAGGTATAAATGTTAACTTTTTTGGCTGAAATATATCAAAACTCATATTTCCAGGAAACATTAATAAAACATTAATTTATTTTTTTAGTTTCACTTTTTTTTTAAATATGTAAAGAAGTACATTATTCCGGTATATGTTTAAGGAAAGAGATTACTTAAAATCAAATTAAGTTCATATTTTTTGTTTACTGTTTTAATAACTATGAAAAATATTCAGATGTGGGTTCTTTTTGTTCAAGAAGGAACAACACTAAAGTAGATTTGGTTGTGGTATATATTTAGATATGTATGTTTTTAAATGGGACTCTGTTCCGTTTACTTTAGAATATGTTTATTCAGCAATGAACACGGTCTGAAAAGACACACAAAGTAGTGGTAAATTGCACAATGATAATTAGCATGAATTACGTATAGAAACTAATCATAACATACAATCCTCTATCTCCCCCAAGTCTTTGGTACATGCGAGTAATAGGGTCACTCGTATTAGTCCTAGGAACAAAGACTGATGTGAAATATGAGTATTATAAAGAAATGTCCGACTAATTGTCCTAAAATAAACAAAATGAAGCACTGAGTCTTCGTGAATAGTTGCAAAACAGATTTAAAACTTAGGAAATGTTCGAAGTAGAAACAAGTCAATTGTCATTTGGACATTTTATAATCTGAATGCCAAGCTGGTTTCTTTGTGGCCCGGCCAGAAGTCCGGATCGGTGCAGCGGACGGAACTACTGCTTGTGGCGTATGTGTCGAGATAGGTGGCATCGTTGCTGTGGTGATTTTGCTCACTGGGGTTATAGGAAAATTAAACGCTAGATGACGTCGACTGAAGATGTCTCGAATACAAAATGGTGGTGAAGGGTGATCAACATCAGATGATGAACGAGGCGAAGGTTGTATGGTTCTAGTAGTCAACAGAGTGGATGGTGGAGGACTCGTATCCTTAATGATTCCAGTCTTGTCCCATTTAAGGGGGTGAGGACCAACTTGATTTTGGATGCGGACATGATCTCCAACTGCAAGAGTTAAGAGGCGTTTGGTGTGTTCAGACCAACGTTCACTTTCTCGCATGTGACGATTCCGTAACGCCTCCTCGCGAGCTGCTAAAGTTTCCAGCCAAGTGTTGTGTGGAATGTACCGACCGGGTGGTATATGAATAAAGTCTCGTATAGGACGACCGAACACGCACATAGCAGGGGATAGTTTTGTGTCTCTGTCAGGTGTGTTACGACACTGGAGAATAGCGCGTTGGAATGCGTCGGTGTTTAAGTCGCCATTGGGACTGGTGTTACCAGTGATCAGACGCTTCACTGTTTTGACTCCCACTTCAGCACGGCAGTTATTATGGGGAAAAGCTTCAGATGACAGTCTAAGGTGAACGCCCCAGTTCCTTAGAAATCGATGTGTGGCCGCAGAAGTGAACCCGGGTCCACCATCTGATGCTAGTTCATCAGGGATACCAAAAGTAACAAATGTCCTTCGGAGACAGTCTATTAAACCATTGGAACCATCAGAGGCCTTCTCCACCACCGGCCAGTTGGAATAACGATCAACTACCACTTGGTAATTACAGCCCATGTAGTGGAAAAAATGTGCACACACGCATTGGAATTAGTCAGGAGTTATCAAAGGCGTCGGTGGTGCATTCGGGTTAGATGGAACAATATGGTTGCAGTGGTTACAAGTTGCGCGTAGGAAGGCGATGGCAGGTGTTTAACGCCTGCATGTTGTCATCGATGGTAGTAGTGGTTCTAACGCGCTCCCAGGTGACGGATCGTAAATTGATCGAATCTAGTGTTGAAGAGGCTGATGCCACGACATGCTCCTCGACAAATGCGAGTCCTGATGAAGGCATGCGTAGACCACTCATTAGACCAAAGTGGGCGATGTCGACGGCAGAAAATGACAGTGCTGCAATGTCGTCCTCAAGCACAAGTTTCTCAGGCTCACCAATAGGATGTCGGGAGATACAATCCGCAGCACGATGTTGTATGCCAGGCACATGAAGCATACAGTATCGTACCTCCTTGAGGTTACGAAGTCTGTTGTTAGGAATGTTTTCCAGTGATCTATCGCCAAATAACTTCAACAATGGCTTATGATCAACAGCTATGATCACTGTTGCACCCAAGAACGAAGTGTCAAGCTTTATCAAGGGCATCTGCTACTGCCAGGGCCTCGCCCTCAACCGGCGCGTAACGCGTCCCTGACGCATGTGTGAACCGACTACCTACGAGTGTAACTTTCCAACCATCACGGCAGCATAGCAGGCTTTCATTAGCACAAGCGCAGTGTTTCTGTAGCAACCAAAATCCAATGCCAGTCTTTGACCAGTCTGTCGCGAGACACGTCAATTTACTTGGGTCGAAAAATCTGTACACCCTGCTCAATCGCGTTGGCAATGACAATTTTTGATTCCTCAGTCCACTGAAACGGTTGATCTGGTTTGAGCAACTGACAGAAAGGAAGCATATTCTCAGTCATACTGAAGGCATACAACACCTGATTGACTAGTCCAAACCATGACCGCACATCTGTGATGTTCCTGGGTGTCGGAAAATCCAAGATGGCGCGTAGGTATTTCTGTGAAGGCCGTACACTATCGTTGGTTATTTCAAACCCAGCGAATTCGAGTGTGTCCTCTGAAAATACAAATTTGTCAGGATTCAGCATTATACCGTTACGGCCGCATATGTCAAGCCACTGGACTGCCTGAAAGAAGCTTTCTTCAACAGTGTCTGACCATAAAAGAACATGGTGGACACATTCGATTTTGTTGGGGATGTCCGAAACAAGCTCGTCGTAGCGCCTGGTGTATCCGTCGCCCGATGTAATGTAGCCTTGGGGTGGAGTTTTGTAACGGTACCTCCCCCAAGGAGTAATGAACGTGGTCAAGTGTCTGTACTCTTCGCAGATGGGTACACTGTGATAACCGTTCCATGCAACAAATAATGTCTTCTTCTTTCCATGTGGAATAGACCGGGCTTGGTGGAATGGCGAAGGGGTATGATGAGTCTCGCGAGTGGCATGTGCATTTAAGGGTTGGAAGTCAACAGTGCGCCGAGGTGTACCATTCTTTTTGCACAAATAACCATTCTATGGCACCAAGTGACAGGCTCAGCAACCGGAACAGGTTCAATAGCCCCCAAACGAACATCCTGGCTTAGTCCAGCCTTTACTGCACCCTGCCAGTGGATTGGAACGAGTACTGGTGTATGGTGAGCGACAGGTTTCGCGTTGGGGTCCACCATGAGCTTCAAGGGAGGTCCATTCATGAGTGGTAAAGTCTGGTGTTCACATGTGTTGAATGTGCTAGACTTGTAGTGGTCAAGAAGGTAACCTTTTAAGTGACCAACGTTTTCCGTTGTAGCAGGGAAAGGCAGTTTTGTCGGAGGCGGTGGTGGCAGTTGGCGTGTAGGACAATCGCATGCTTTGTCTTGGTGATCCGGTAAGTAGAAAGTAGCATCTACATGTATGCTAGCTGAAGGGACTTGAGCTCCAACGGTTGGAAATGAATTGTGGATAATACCTAATGCAGCGCAGGCTTCGCCACTGAGGAAGAGCTTGTCTGATGAGCTTGTGACATATGTCATCTGTGTAGTCTCCTTGGTGTTTCCTGCCTTGTCTTTCCCAATCAAGCGAAGAATGGTCGCCCCAAGAATTTTGATACCACCGTATGTAGCCGTGTGCATCTGCATCGTTACAGGTATGAGGTCTGATACTGGTAGACCAAGGCGGCGGATTACTTTCAAGCCAGCGAGGCAACTCTGACATCCCGTGTCAGCCATAGCCTGTATTGAGACGATGCTGGTGTCTCATGTTAGTTTGAAGCCTAGGGCGGCGTATTCCTCAGCGGTAACTTTAGCCGTCACGTTCACGAATGGTTGTGGCTTGGAGCGTTGTTTTACCCAGGAATTTGTCAGTTCATCATAGACCTGGTGGTCGATGCAGATTGAGCGTTCGATGCCAGAATCACTAACGGTACAGTGGTGATGTTGTAGGGAATCATAAACAGAGCACAATGCGTCGAACAAAGCACTTCCGGAAAGTGTATCACGGTCTGTCACTTTGGGTTTGTCCTTGCTTCTACATACAATTTCGAAATGATATTTGCAATGGCAATGCCCACATATGTGTCCATATTATAGGTGTGTTGTATACTGTGTGGTATATATTTATATAGGTATGTTTTGTGTTACAGACTGGACTGTACTATTATGGGTGTGTTGTATAACCTTCAACCTTTACCTAAATGTCATCAAGATGATTACAAAGGAGTCATTGGAATGGTGGGTACATCTTTTGTTTTTCCATTTAAATGTTCATTCATAGGAATACTGAGTTTTCATTTTTCAAAGGTTCATAATTGTTTCTTAATTATCACTTGACTTGGCCAATAGTAGAAATTTTAGGGCTGTTCCGATTATTGTATTTGCCGATTGTAACTTGTGCTTTGCATGTGTTGGGTCTAACTATTTGTTGTTTTTGCAGGGTGTACCATGTGCTGTGTTCGGGCCTACTATATATTGTATTTTCAGGGTGTACCATGTGCTGTGTTGGGGTCTACTATATATTGTATTTTCAGGGTGTACCATGTTCTCTGTTGGGGCTTACTATTTGTTGTATTTTCAGGGTGTACCATGTGCTGTGTTGGGGCCTACTATATATTGTATTTTCAGGGTGTACCATGTCCTCTGTTGGGGCTTACTATATATTGTATTTTCAGGGTGTACCATGTGCTGTGTTCGGGCCTACTATATATTGTATTTTCAGGGTGTACCGTGTGCTGTTCTGGGACTTACTACATGTATATATTGTATTTTCAGGGTGTACCATGTCCTCTGTTGGGGCTTACTAATTATTGTATTTTCAGGGTGTACCATGTTCTCTGTTGGGGCTTACTATTTGTTGTATTTTCAGGGTGTACAATGTTCTCTGTTGGGGCTTACTATATATTGTTTTTTCAGGGTGTACCATGTGCTGTACTGGGGCTTACTATTTGTTGTATTTCAGGGTGTACCATGTGCTGTTCTTGGGCTTACTATATATTGTTTTTATTCGCCCGTCGAAGACGGGGACATATTATGTTATCACGCGGGCGGGTGGGCGGGCAGGCAGGCGGGCATGCGAACGATGTCCGCTCGATATCTCAAGTAATTATTAACGGATTAACTTCAAACTTCACAACAAGGTTAATTACCATGAAACTTCAGACAAGTTCGATAACCGTCATTATCCGACCATAATTTGTGGAGTTATGCCCCTTTATGGACTTGCTGAAACAGTGTCCGCTCGATATCTCAAGTAATTATTAACGGATTAACTTCAAACTTCACAGCAAGGTTAATTACCATGAAACCTCGGACAAGTTCAATCATACAAACAACTGCTCATTCAATGTGTGACGGGCGTATTATATACTGCTCGCGGTAACCTTGTTTCAGGGTGTACCATGTGCTGTTCTAGGGTTTACTATATATTGTTTTTTCAGGGTGTACCATGTGCTGTTCTGGGGCTTACTATAAATTGTTTTTTCAGGGTGTACCATGTGCTGTGTTGGGGCTTACTATATATTGTTTTTTCAGGGTGTACCATGTACTGTTCTGGGGCTTATTATAAATTGTTTTTTCAGGGTGTACCATGTGCTGTGTTTGGGGCTTACTATAAATTGTTTTTCCAGGATGTACCATGTACTGTTCTGGGGCTTATTATAAATTGTTTTTTCAGGGTGTACAATGTGCTGTGTTGGGGCTTACTATATATTGTTTTTTTCGGGGTGTACCATGTACTGTTCTGGTGCTTACTATATATTGTTTTTTCAGGGTGTACCATGTGCTGTACTGGGGCTTACTATTTGTTGTATTTCAGGGTGTACCATGTGCTGTACTGGGGCTTATATAATTACTATTCATTGTATTTCAGAGTGTACCATGTACTGTTGTTGGGCTTACTTTATATTGTTTTTTCAGGGTGTACCATGTGCTGTGTTTGGGGCTTACTATAAATTGTTTTTTCAGGATGTACCATGTACTGTTCTGGGGCTTACTATATATTGTTTTTTCAGGGTGTACCATGTGCTGTGTTTGGGGCTTCCGCTTCTTTTGTCATGTCTGCCATTTATTGGGAATCACTATGGCCCTGCGGGAGCTTGGTGGTAAGTAAAGCTATACTAACCCCTGACAATGTTTATAATGCTAGTCCATAACAATGAGAACTCTAAATTGTGACTCCAGGAAATCAGGAATCAGAAACTTAAAGGTTAACTACGATGAGGGGGGTATGCTTGATTCAGCTTGTCTGCCTGTGTCAGAAACAATAGTGATCAATATCATTCCTTCCGACTGATTTCAATGTAAAATTTATATATAATTTTTTAACTTAATTGTTAAACTCATTTTCAATTTATTTGTGAAGGCTATAAGCTGGTACTGTAATACCACAAGATAATCTTAATAAGATGCTTCAGAATGGCAACCACAACTTAATCTTAAGGAGATGCAGGGATACTCATTAGCCTGTAGCTGATATTACTAGTTTTAATGTTCCTTTTGTTTTCGGTTCATCGCCTGTGAACATAGCTGTATGATATACATTTTTTCTCTAGCTGGATTGAAGACAATTGGCACTGGAGAGTAGGAATGTAAGTATGACATTCAATTTATAATCTCTTATTGTACAATACTGAATTACAAACTGACAATATTAAACTTGTCAAACGAGACACATTTTGTAACCGATTATCCGAAAAAATCTTCTGACTGAGTAACCTGTTAATCAGTCAGTTTAATGATCAAACAGTAAACAACATGATATGTTCAGCGAATGTTCTATTCAAAACGTATATACATTACATATTTATTAATTAGCACAATAGCTTACTAATGTGTTCCAAGCTCTCAACACCTAGACGCAGGAAAAACATCCATGTTAACCTGGCATCTTTTATTGACAACATTGATCAGATTGAAACAGGCGCGCTAGGATACACTACAGGTTATTTTTACTGGAACTCAAATGTGGAAATGTTCTTGAGAAACATGATCTGATCAACAAACCTATTTATAGTTTTTTTTGTCTTTAATGTTTCGCTGATATTATTCAATATTGTATTCTCTTGAGATTATTTTTTCGTCCCACCCATAAAAGCAAGTGTAACCTCACAGACTTGGTTTTTAGCAACTTTGTACTATTCTGGCTGTCTTTTAAAATCTGTTAAGCCTTCTTTTGGTGTTGTCAGGATCTCTTTGTCTTTTTTAGTGTTGAGTATATTAAACCAACACTCAAACAAGTCAGTCTGACATTGTTTTATTACCCCCAAATCCAATATCGGTCTCATTAATAGATACATTTTAGGTATTTCAATTTCAACAAATTTTATTGATAAACATGATCTATTGGATTGAACATCAGGCTTAAAGCCTATATTAAGTTCTTTCCATATTACAATACATCTTATTTGAATAATATCCGGTAGAAATGGAAATTAAGTAATATATATACAGTAAGATTAAGTTTATCATATATTTTAACATTTGACTTATTACACTTTTTTTTGTGTAATTTGATTTTAAGTTTTGCAATGATATAAAAGTTTAATACATGCTGATAAATACAAGTGCAGCTGAGGGATAAGTGCCGAATCAACCCCCCGAGTTTCTGACTGTAAAGTCCGTGGGTTCTTCACCCTATAGTCTTCCACTCAGGAATTGGTTGCACACATAGCTCCCAGCCACACGTAAAAAGTGCATGTTATTTCTTCAATGTTTACAATAGACGAAATCCAACCAATATAAAGGAGATGAGATTTTATCAGTATATCAATTAACTATACTTCTCACAAGTCATCAGTGTTCATCAAGGTGCACAGCTCCGCAGTATATATTATCATATTCAATATACATTTTAGGTATAAACCTGGTAAACATATGGGGACCATTGGAGGTAAATAAATGTCCAACTATTTGGTTATTGATATTGGTGACTGGTTCTCAGTCTTCTGACCAAATAATCGGCTAACTGTTGACAACCCTAGTTAATATACGAAGAGGTGTAATGAAAGGGTTTTAGAATTTTCTGAGGAGCATCACATTTTTCAAAATTTTGTTACCGGAAAAATAATGAAATCATACTAAAATAGATATGCATAAAAATAATTTCAGTGAGTGCATAAAAATGCTTATCCTGATAATTTTCTTTACAGATGGTATGGTCCACTTTTTCTGGCGATATTTTGCTTGTTTGTTGTGTACATTTACATCACCTACATTCTCAACAGGAAGGTACGTTTTATATAAGGTAGACATTTATAGTCACAGAGAAATCTTCATTAGTTATGCCGGACGTTTTCCTTAATGTCATAGAAATGTGTGGTTCTTTTAATTGGAAAATCACAACACAAGTTCGCAACATACTGTCACTACTAATTGTAATGTACCTGTGTTCTACCTGCATTTTTAGTAAAGGAAAAGAGACCATTAATCAACCTGTAAATGAAATCTAAATGTCTATATCATTATACGTATTTGAAACCTGAGAGATTGAATATGAATTTTTGGTTAAAGGCAAGTAGATGTGATATAAATAGCTTGGTTTCAAATGTCAAATGTGATATATGATAATTTTGTGATAATTTTGTGATAATTTTAATTAAAGGCATCGTCATGGCAAGGAACGTACGATCCTGACACAGAACGTCATAAGGAACTCATGAAAGAGGACATCAAACCGCTGCGTGCCTACCCTTGTATATACCTAGCTGTGTCTATATTCCCTCTCATCAACAGGTAACTGAGCTAATTCATAGTAGTTCTGTGTAACATGTCTATATGTGTCCCCAATAATCCTAACTGTCAAATGTATTCTTTTCAACATTATTGTCCTTTTTTCCAATTTATTGATAATAACATTTGAAAAAAAGGTGGATCGGTAAGTATGATGCTGTTTGGACTAATTTTAGTCAATAGTTTGTAATTAAAGAAATATTTTATTTTCACATTCAGTTTCAGTAAGGTTCTTGGTTGATTCTGCAATGACATGGTGAATAGAGCAAAGGCTGTCAAATTGTGAAAATCAGATTTGTTTTCACTATCTCCAATATAGAGAATCCAAGTTAAAGGACAGACACAGTAGTCAACCATTTCGCAAGGAACTTCCCTTTACAAACATGGCTATTTGTAGCTCTAATCTGGTATCAAAATGTTAGACAACTGTCAATTATATTTAATATATATATTGTTTTAAAAACTGACAGAACTGAAAAAAATAAAATTGCATGTATGAAGGTATATATTAGGTTCAATACTTCATGTGTCTAGTATTGTTTTAAAATGTTGTCATGTATCTATCTTCTCATAAAATGTCCACACAAAATTCATACTGCCTGTGTGCCAAGCTAAATATAGTTTAAATGTGTTTTTCATTGATTTTTAGGTCACCTGAGCTTTAGCTCAAGTGACCTATTGCTATCCGTTTTCGTCAGTCGTCGTCCGTCGTCCGTCGTCCGTCGTCCGTTAACATTTTACATTTCAAACTTAAAGTCAAGTTCTGCTGGGCCGATTGAACTGAAAGTTGGTAGGAATGATCGCCTCATGGTCCTGACAAAGTGTTGTTATTTTTCGGGTCGATCAGAAATCCAATATGGCCGCCACGGCCGCCATTTTGAAAACCTATTTCAAACTTAAAGTCAAGTTCTGCTGGACCGATTGAACTGAAAGTTGGTAGGAATGATCGCCTCATGGTCCTGACAAAGTGTTGTTATTTTTCGGGTCGATCAGAAATCCAATATGGCCGCCACGGCCGCCATTTTGAAAACCTATTTCAAACTTAAAGTCAAGTTCTGCTGGACCGATTGAACTGAAAGTTGGTAGGAATGATCGCCTCATGGTCCTGACAAAGTGTTGTTATTTTTCGGGTCGATCAGAAATCCAATATGGCCGCCACGGCCGCCATTTTGAAAACCTATTTCAAACTTAAAGTCAAGTTCTGCTGGACCGATTGAACTGAAAGTTGGTAGGAATGATCGCCTCATGGTCCTGACAAAGTGTTGTTATTTTTCGGGTCGATCAGAAATCCAATATGGCCGCCACGGCCGCCATTTTGAAAACCTATTTCAAACTTAAAGTCAAGTTCTGCTGGACCGATTGAACTGAAAGTTGGTAGGAATGATCGACTCATGGTCCTGACAAAGTGTTGTTATTTTTCGGGTCGATCAGAAATCCAATATGGCCGCCACGGCCGCCATTTTGAAAAACTATTTCAAACTTAAAGTCAAGTTCTGCTAGGCCGATTGAACTGAAACTTTGTAGGAATGATCGACTCATGGTCCTGACAAAGTGTTGTTATTTTTCGGGTCGATCAGAAATCCAATATGGCCACCACGGCTGCCATTTTGAAAAACTATTTCAAACTTAAAGTAAAGTTCTACTTGGCCGATTGAACTGAAACTTTGTAGGAATGATCGACTCATGGTCCTGACAAAGTGTTGTTATTTTTCGGGTCAATCAGAAATACAATTTGGCTGCCATGGCCGCTATTTTGCTACTAAGTTCTAATAGGCCGATCTCACTTAAAATTGGTCTAGGAATGATCAGCTCATGGTCCTGACAAAGTTAAGTTAACATTATACTATTTTTTACTCAAATTGGTACATATTTCAACAACAAAAATAAATATTGTAGGACTCAGGTGACCGTTAAGGCCCATGGGCCTCTTGTTTATATTGTGACAATATTAAAGTTCCATTACTGTTTTTGTAGAATACAGAATGCAGTATCACCAGAATACCCAGTGTTTCCACTCATGGTGCTTTCAGCTCTGTCCTCTCCTATACAAGGTTAGTATCAGTATCAGCTCTGAGGGCTGCCTAGTTAATAGCAGTATCTTAACCTCTATGTGCTGGTGCCTAGGTACAGCTTTACTCCCAGCATAGGGGATACTTAAATGTTGAGGCTGGTGAAATGTTTCGTTATGAAGATATAGGCTGGGCTTGTACGTTTTTCAAGTCAGCCTGTAGGCTAGTACCTTACCTTGTATTACCTTTTTTACTGTATTACGTAAATCCCCTCCATGGTTGTCTAGTATACTGGACAAGGTATTATGTAAATCCCCTCCATGGTTGTCTAGTGTACTGGATAAAGTTATGGCTACATGTATACTTTTTCTGTTGTCTTGTACATTAATCATTGTAATTAGATTTTTGACATTTTCAAGCAATGTAGACTCATAAAAACGAATTCTTTGTTGCTATGCATTATAATGGATTTATACAGCTAAGTCTGAAACTCTTACTTTCTGTAATGAAATTCAAAATTGCCCACTGAAGTTTTGGAACGGCTGCCGGCAATACAAGTGATTGTGTCTCAATGCTCATTATGGTAAGGTTTGGGCATATGTAAATTTAAACCTCATACCCCTCACAGTAATCATTTTAGGTTTTCTTGTTTAGTTCAAACAACATTGTCCAATATACTACCAGGAAGTATTGGTAATAGTGTTAAATTTTCCTCTCAGTGAATTGGTTTATGATTTAGGTGCTGTCAATGCTATAGTTTTTGGACTGGACAGGGAAACATTTAGTCGTCTTACCCCATCACAGATCAAGGTAAGTGTATCCCCATTTTACTGGCAATGGTGGTGGTGCTTGTGGTGGAGGCAATTAGGAGGAGGAGTGAATACGAGTATGGATGGGGGAGGGTGTGTGGATGGGAGACCAAAGAGAGTCAGAGAGAATCTGATAGAGTATTGTTTTGAAATTACCTAGAGGTACAGATTAAGGGAAAAGAAAGACATGATAATATAAACATTTTATATATGGGTTATTTCCAGAAATTTATACTCTAATGTACTGTGGGGACAGGATGGTTAGATAATGGCTTTGTAAGTAAAATGTGGATGATAAAGTACACAAATAAAAAAAATATGTCGTGATTACAAGGGGAAAAGAAATTCTGAGTGATGGGGTCACAGAATTTATTTACTGTATACCAGGAAATATTAACCCTGTGAAATATTTGTCCTTCACTGGTAAAATCCATGTTTGCCCAGTGTTAATTTTGCCCTTAAAATGTAATAACTATAATGCTGTTTATTTATATTTGATGTTCTGAATAATTTGAAAATTTCCTGGTGTAAAGTATCTGGAATAACTGTTAAAATTAAATTATATGTTTGGGTTTATACAGACCTCTTACACCAGAAATTATATTTTCGTCGATATTACAGTCTCCTGAGTGTTAATGTTATCTCACAAATCTAGTTTACATTAATGTACTTGACGTTTAAGATTGTACAATGATAGTGTGAAATAGAAGTTTTGTATCAATTGCTTGCTCGAAGGACTATATGACTTGGTTAATATATGTTCAGTGCTGTTCATAAAGCACCATATCACAGTATTAAGGTGAACAAATATAGTGTTATGGATGCATGAGATGTTCATCCTGGGATAATTCTTTAGAACCTGTCTGAGTATTATTGTCTGTTTGCTCTTAGCATATCGCCTGCATACATGTACCTCATATCAGAAGAATTTGTGTAGTCCCCTCGGCAGATCTTTAGCCTCATTTTGAATTTCTCTTCTGGTCAAACCATGCATATCTTGTCTAGTCTACATAAATTAGATAGCATAACCATTTGTATTATAGAAAGAAAACAATTGAAAACTACAATAGGGTTGCATTATGTTTTTCAAAACATATTTGCCAAATTCATTTCATGTCATCATAGCCATCATGTAATTTCCCCAAGATTCTAAGGTGGTATTAGATTAAGTATTATATCAGAGTTGAAATGACACTGTACCTAACGGAAGCAGAGACGTTTCCTACTGTCGGGCTCAACCGGCAGTAAGAGACCCGAGGTACATAACAAATATAATATATATACCTCCCTATAAGAACAGGAATATATGCAATAAATACACTTTAAAAATAGACAAATATTTTTATTTTTTAAGTACATATATACAGTAATATAAGCCACATTGGCCAATTTCGAGTCCCCTCAACGACACAAATACATTAGTATGGATCAACAATCACAGATACATCATCCGGCAAGACACACCATTTCGGACCAAGGAGTCGTCTCCAAATTACAACACAAGATAAGGATAGGATAGAATAGACGACTCCTAACCACCCCCCGAGAGAAGGCAACTTCCCTCACGCCGACTGAACACTGACTTCCGTCAGTGAGATGAAACCTGTAAGGGCGGATTCATGTAGGCGCAAAACCCGTCATCCATCCATCCATCCAGCAGTGTAACTGACGATGTTCGTTTAACATACATAATTGTGACCATACTCTTGGTCTTTCCTGTTCATTGTTCATTGGTTGTCCTTCTTTTCTTTTTTCCTCCGAGTAGCCTTGCTCACTGGCAGTCACCAATGTCCATTTATTCAAAGATTGCATTATATGGTCTTTCTCTGTCTCTGCCTTGTTTTGTTTTACTCTGATGTTTTCACACCTGCCAAGAAAAGTTCTTACAACATCCAGTTTGGGCACTGGCATATCGCGAGTTAAAATCAAACCAACGTCATGAACTATTCTTCTTTACTAATAACTAGGATGTCCAATAATGAGCGTCTCCCACCTGTTTCCTCTTCAGCTGTACATTGGATAGAGTCGGTGAAATTCACCTGATTGAAATGTGCTTCTCAACCTTCCCACTCCTGATTACTTTTAGCGAATCCTCTGATCTCTTCCAAAAGTTTGGAAAACATTCATTCTTACTGTTGTCTTGTCTAAGTACCGAATCAGCTGTTCGACCGTACATTAACTCATGGAGCAATGAATAACCCCACCAAGTACGAATTAACCTGTGAAATATTGAGAAAGGAAAATTAAATCAGAATGATATATTTCGCTGCAGTGACTAAATAACTAAATAATTAAAAATACAGAATAATAAACCAAAAGAATATAGGCTTAAACCAGAAGAATAAAGGCTTAAAATGTGGACAGTTCTTATTTGGCATTTTCTTTGATTCTGGTATCATATAAGTATGTCTTAAACGAGGTTTCCCCCCTGAATTAGTTAGTTATTGCGACGTTCAGAGGCACTCCCACTGTTTGTTACACGGTCATTTTCTTCCGTTTAAAGACCTTTAAAAGGATAATTAATGGTCTCATGTCATATATTATTTATATTTCATTTGTGTGGCAGAGAGGTTACCTATCGTAATGTGACATAGTCAGGCTGGATTACTACATTCCTAGCTGGCTGGGCGTGAGCAATATTTTGTCAGCAGCATAATGTCCTTACATTTTCACCTTCAGTCATAAAATTGCTGTACTTATGTATCTTGAGCAGACAAAGTGTCGCACACTAACATTAGGTCTTTTGCTCAGTTTATAAAATGGGTCTTATTAGATGCATCGTGGTATATGACGGGCCTATCATTTTCTGCCCCGAGGTATCTTCACTATTTATACAAGACCTGACAAATTCCCCCTGTCGTGTCATTGCCACATACACTTAATTGAATTAGTGTAATTGCATCTGTTGTATATTCAGCAATATTTCCATATGCTTGTTTATTACATGTCACTGAGCCCTGCTTTAACAGCCAATATATTTTCGTGAGACATACTTATTCCATATCTGTACTAGTTATCACAACAAAAACAGGAAGTGTGCAAGATGTTAATGACAAAGTTATGTCAGTCATCCCAAAACATTCCAGTGAGTCATTGTACCAGCCTTTCATTCCCTATTGGTGGCTTATTGTCATTTTTAAAGGTGACTGTAAGGAAAACGATTGGATGCTCAAAGGTGTGAAATTAAAGGACAGTTGCGATCTCACAAATGTAATTATCCCTCCCCCAATCTTGATTGTATTTTGAAGACCATGTTTAATGGACAAACAGAAGTTGTCCCTGAGCCAAACTTTCAAACTTGTGCCTACCAGAACTCGAGGGTTCAAATCCTAATAAACTTTATACGGGCTTGTCCATCTACATCCTACCTGTGGTGTCCTTTCTACATCTTGTTCCTAACTGTAACTGATGAGGTCTAGAGTCGGTACACAGATTACCTGTTATAGTTGTAGGTACATTCCCTCCTGAACAATCTAAATAGGCAAAACTTTTTTAAGCTTGTTTTTTTTTGTGCGTAATAAATGAAGACTCTTATGCTAATTAAGTGATATACTAAATTCTAGAGTATGTAACCTGATTGGCTGCCGTGTTGAATTGCAGGTCCAGTTTCGTTAAGTGAAACATTGAATCAAGAAAAAATGGTTTCCTGGTCATGACTCTTTAAGCTTGACAGTGTATATCCTGCAGGTATTAAATCATAGCATACTGCTTGAGGAACACAAATGTTACATCATGTATATACTATATGTACATTGCACAGTCAGTTTTGTTTACTTCAATGGTCGCTCTTCTAACTATTTTTCAAAGGGGCATGTGTCTTTGAACTTTGGGAAATATCACATACAAAAAATGGCATGCTTTTGAGAAAGTAAAACAATTTTTCGCAACAATATTTAGAAAATACAGCAGAAACTATCTGGGGGACGGGGCTTCTTAACGGCCAAACATTTACCCTGTAAAGTCTCCTTTCAATGGGGGTTTATTATGGATTTTAACACGCATGAACTGTATACTATTATATTGTTCACTATTATTTTCAACCTCAACAAAATAAAAGGCTCTCATTAAAAGATGGCTGAGTTTGGTGTATACTAACAGTACTTTGAACAGCTGACATAAATATATAGCCTGAGGTGACAACGTATCAGTACACGATGCTCCGTTAACCCTTCGTCAATAAAACTGTAATCGCTTGGTCTATGATAGAAGTAGCAAATTGATGTAAATGTCATTTGATCTGTTATGTTTGGATGTCTTAAGCTTGTTAACACAAAGACTAAATACCTGCATTATCATAACTTATGAAGGAGTAGTCCAGTCTCAAACAAAGTTATAAAGAATACCAGGAGGTGACCTGACATACACACTGCTATAATAGATAGAGTAGGCGACTTAACACAGCATGACAGAGGAGATTTGACACAAACACTGTTGTGATGTGTTGAGGAATCAACATCAAACAGGCAGTTTTGTGAAATGAACAGAAGGCATCTTGACGCTAGTACCGTTATAAACGATTAGTGTAGGAGATTTGACACATGCAATATTTTGATGGCTAGGGGACGAGTCGCCTCACTGTGGTATAAGAAAGGGATTGGCCACAAGTACTATCAGGCATTGTAGCGGCAGGGCTTTATAATGTGGGGGTATTGGGGGGCAGGATAAAGGATGTGTTACAGATTGTATTTGAAGCTAACTTGATCAGTGTATTTTATGTACAGCTGTTAAATAAATTTAGTCGATGGTCATTTTTTCTTCAGTTAAAAGTTTTTCACTTATTAGGGTGCCCTATAGTAATCACTCTGTCTGTCTGTCTGTTTGTCTGTCTGTCCGTCCGTCCACAAATTTTGTTCCTGGCTGATTACTTTGGTATTTATTGACTGATTTACATGAAACGTGGTCAAGATGTTCAGTACACAAAAATACACACTGAGGTAAAAAGTCAAGGTCAAAGGTCAAGGACATTATCTTCAAAGGTCAAGGTCGAAATTTGCATATTTT